TTGTCCTACAGGGCGGCGAGGAGTCCACATCTGCTCGACGGCAGTGTTGCTGAGCAGCTGCTCAGTCTTCAGGCTGGGGTCCCATGCACTTCTCAGCAGCCCGAGCTCCCTTCTCAGGCCTCAAGCGCATCGAGCCGGACGCTGGTGACCCCTTCCCCGCACCGCGCTCAGGACAACCGTCAGGCACACGGCTCTGAGTCTGGGAGAAAGGAGTCTGTGATAGCCTTAGAGACAGACCGTGATGTTCTCAGCGTCCTCGGTCTTAAGCCGAGAAAACAGCAGGGCGCCATGGGACTCTGGCTCTGCCACGTAGCAGCGCAAGCCTGTCAGCCGAGCGAATGAAAAAATGCCCTGGGGAGCCGTCTTCCGTCTTCCAGTACCATCAACTCCTCTCCGGGGCAAAGCGACCCACAAGAGCCGAGTAGAACTGCACTCCTGGGGGCTTTCTGGGCTGGGACCTTTTGGCAGCGGATTACCAGGCCTTTCTTCCGAATCACATCTGGATGGGTGTGAACCTGCCAACTCCTGGCTAGTAGTTGAACACCTAACTCTACCCAGCAGCCAAGACCCTCAAGAGTCGCATGATCTGCCCAGGACGATGAGCCAGCCAGGGAGGAGACCCTGAAACCCCCGCCCCCTGCCCAGTGCGGCATTCTCCCCACCCACCCCTCCTCATGCCACAGACGGCATCGCCACCAGAAGTCCTGGCTAGCATCCAGGAGTATTTTCCTTCCTGGCTGTAAAACACACTGTGACAAATGGCTCCACAGATCTACTGGCCGTGGAGAGGAGCAGATGGAGCTGCAATTCACACTATTAACTTAATTCTATTTGATGCTGCTTCAAATTAGGGCATTTTATCTAGAAATTATAAAAAGCAGAGAGAGAGAGAGAGTGTTGGGGGTGGGGGCGGGGACAAGGAGAGCACGTCCCTAGTAAATAAGCCTGCTGGAGGTTCATTTATAAATCTATATGCTCTGGGCACCCTCATTGATGGCGGGTGTTGATAGCTGTTGTTTTTCTAATCCATTCTGCCTTACTCTCCCTCCACCTTTAAGTCCTGACTGCACGGAATGAGAGGTTCCCGGGGGCCCTTGGCACTGACCATCGACCCCAGCTTGAATCCCCCGGACCTACAGAGCACAGTCCTCACAGCAGCCCCCAGGTCAAAGCTCTCTTGGGAGTTCTGCTTTGAACGTGGGCACAGGGGTTCTGGGTCTAGAAGGAGCCCAATCTCACCTATCCACTTGGCACACGAGCGCAGCACGCCCAGGGCAGCAGACGCTGGCTCGGGCCCTGGAGTACCCGAGAGAGATGCACCACAACAGCCTCGGCCATCAAGGAGCTTCTCTGCAGGAAGGGAACCAGGGACTTCCACAAGCCTCTCCCGCTCCGGCAGCTGCTCCCCTGGCTTCGCAGCTCCAGGCCTCTCGTGGAGGTTCCTGCGACACAGAGGCAGTGCCTGCCCCACTCCTGACAAGCAGGCTCCAGCTGTGTCTGCCCCTCACAGCAGGCTTGCCCAGGAGCGAGGGCCATCCTTCCGTGTGGTCTCCCATCATCTTGACTCTAGACACTAACCTTCTGTGAGTGCGGACAGGAACTGCTTTGTTTGGGGCCCACATCACATGGCAGAGGGCTCCTGCCAGGTGGGACCCTAAACCCTCGCCTCTGCACCCCCTCCTACACAGCTGGATTCTAGAGAGAACCACAAACCTACAGCCATGGAGCCACCCGACTCGCAGCCGCTCTCTCCCAAAGTTCCCAAGGTTGTGCACTGACACTGTCTGTTAGGCTGCTAACCACCACAGCAGCAAAGCCACCAGGCACTTCTCAGGAGGAAGATGCGGCTCTCTGTTCCAGCAAAAACCTTTCACTGCCATCGGGTTGATGCCAACTCACGGCGACCTTATAGGACAGGATGGAACTGCCCAGGAGTTTCCAGGGCTGTAACTCTTTACAGGCGTAGAAAGCCCTGTCTTTCTCCTGCAGAGTGCTTGGTGGCTTCGAACTGCTGGCCTTTCTCATAGCAGCCCAACACACAACCATGCGGAAACCCTCTAAGAGGGTCACTGTGAAGGTCACGTGAGTGGAAATTGACTCTCTGGCAGTGGGTCTGGTTTTTTATTTGTATTTTTTTAATATTACAGAAGCAGACTGCCACATCGTTGCTCCCCTGAAGCTGCTGGTGGGTTTGAACAACTGACCTGTCCATTACCAGTTGGGCACTTAACCACCATGCCACCAGGGCTCCTTTAGGAGGAAAACACAGGGGCTTGGATGTATTCCCCGCTCCATTTCACCTGTTAGGAACAAGGCAGCTGTCAGCCTACCTGTCAAGATCAATTCTTATCTTACTTGTCAACTGACAAACCTGCTGTCCCTTCTTCGCATGGCGCCACAGAGAAGGCAGCGGTGGCTCAGAGGGACAGTTCTCACCTTCCATGCAGGCGACCTCGATTCTGCTCTGGGCCAACGCACCTCATGCACCGCGGGCACTGTTCTGTCAGGGCGGCTGGGTGCTGCCGTGCTGCTGAGCGGGATGTCTGTGAGCTTCTAGGCTAAGACAGACTACGAAGACTTTCAAGATTCACTGAACGAAAGGCCTGTGGGTCACAACAGCCTCACCCCTAATAGGTGGACTGCACTTTGTGGTATGGGGGTTTGCCATCACTAGGGGCCTCCTGGACAGCAGTTCACAGCAGCAAGACGACACCCCATGGTGGTGATGAGCACGACCCCCACCTTCCCCAAAGGCACTCAGAACAAGGAGAAAGGCCAAGGACAGACGCCTACAACAGCCTGGCTCAGCCAGAGACACCAGAGAGGCACATTTCACGGGTGGATGTTTGGGGAGTAGATCTCCAACCTCTCTTCACGGTCAAGCTCAGTGTGGAAGCTCTATGGAAACCTGTTTCACATCATGGCCACACACCAGTTCCACTCACAGGCGGGGGGGTGGCTGTCCAAGAGGCGGATTGGCTAAACCGAGAACCCTGGCCTCCCACATGAAAGACGCGACCCCTAACCTCTGACCGACCACTGCCGGCCTCCGTTATCCTAATTGCCCTGCAAAATGAATGCACTGCTCTCTACTTGCAAGGGCAGGGTCTTCGTGCTGCTATTGTCTACGCTCTGTCGGCCCCTGGTACCGTCTATCCCGTCCCTGCCCATCTAGTGACGATCAAACGCTCCCTCCTCATTGTTATGAGGAAAATAAATGACTAACAATTGCAGTTTGGTAGGCAAAGGCTTGCAAAACCACTTGTAATACAGCAACGGTGTTCCCTGGACTTCCTTCAAAAAATAAGACAGGAAGGATGAGCAAGTCAAGGTCTCAATAAAGCAAGGCTGGCCGTGAACTGATTAGCTGTGGAAACAGGGTGATGTGTGCATGAGGGGTCGTTATCCTATTGTCTCCACTTTAGTGTGCTGGGAATTTTCCGTCATAAAAAATTTAAAGGAGGGAGAGCGGTGGCAAGAGCGACTACTTGTGAAACAAAGAGTGAAATTAAAAAAGAACCGATAAGCATGAAAGGCGGGCAGGAATGAGCAAAGGGCGGAGGGGTGGTGGTGGAGGGGAGGGGGCAATGACAGCAAAGGGAAAACAAGGGAAAGGAATCAGTGAAGTCATCCAGCTGTTTCGCCCTTCACAACCACAATGGCAGGGAGGGTTATGTAGCAAACTGTTATTAGGGGCCTTGGAGTCTGTTGGTTCTGACTCAGGGCGACCCTGGGAACAACAGCACAAAACACTGCCCTGCTGGCACGGTGGTGATGGGCTCGGCTGCCACCCCCAATATCAGCAGTTCAAAACACCAGGCACTACACGAAGCTTTCTACCCCACACAGATTTACAATCTCGGAAACCCATGGGGTCAGTTCTACCCTGTCCTGTGGGGTCACCTTGGATTGGAATCAACCCCATGGCAGTGAGAGAAACACCGTTTGCACCATCCATCCGTCAGTGGGTTGTGTTGCGGTGGGTTGTGTGCTGCTGGAAGTTCTGCCACTGGTATTTCACGTTCCAACAAGGTCGCCCACGGAGGACGGGTTTCAGCGGAGCTTCCAGAGGAAGGAAGACTAGGGAGAAAGGCCTGGCTGTCTACTGCTGACACTGACCTCTGAAAAGCCTATGGGCCACGACAGAACACCGTCTGGCTCACTTACTCGGGCCACATCATCAGGGAGGGAGTGCGAGAGGAGGATGTCATGTGGGTAAGGCAGGGGCCCCCACCCCCAGATGAGATAGGCTGGCAGAGTCACCTCGGCGACAGGCTCAAGCACGCCAGCGAGGGTGAGGAAGACGCAGCCCAGGCAACACCTCATTCAGTCACAACAAGGCTGCCAGGAGCCAGTGGACCCACTGGCAGCGGACAACAGCAAAGATGTTTTCAACGGTCAGGAAATCAGAGCAGTAGCAGTAGCACTTAACACAAGTCATAAGAGGGTTACAGTGCTGTGTGTGCTGGGTTGCTGAGTCGGCATGACACAAGACAGTGGGTTGTGTTGGTACTGAGATAATGATCATCATTCAACGTACTGAAAACTTTTTCTTTAAAATATAAGGGTGCTTCCAAAAGCTCATGAGAAAAAAAATCCATTGTCATGTCATTCTTCCATTTCTCCTTATACGTTTTGAAGCCCTCTTATCCTACGGCCTGGTGGCAGACGGCGTTTCCAAAGGGCAGCGGTTGGAATCCACCATGAGCTCCTCAGGAGAAAGGTGAGCTTTCTGCTCACAGAGCGATTGACAACCTCAGAAACCCCTGGGCAGGTCTCTCCTGTCTCTAACACTGACTCCATGGCAGGAAGCATGGGACTGCTAACCGGGAGAGCAGCAGTTCATACCCACCAGCTGCTCCTCCAGAGAGAGATGAGGCTGTCTGCTCCCATAAAGAGTTACAGCCTCACAATCCCTACAGAGTGTCGTTGTGAGTAAGAATGGACTCATGGTAGTGTGTGTTGTTGTTGTTTTTCTTCTTTTATTTACAAGCCCCCTAAAGGCCTGCACCATCCCTGGAAGCACTGCAATACGAGGCTGATGTGCAGAGTGGATAAAGCAAGCTCCTGGTCCAACTTCCACTTGCAAAAATACACTTAATATGTTGTCCTCAGATAGAGAACGTATCAGATATTAAACTGATAAGAACAGAAACTACACTTGATCTTAGCCAAAAGGCCAAGAAGCGATTGTAGTGTATGTTTTTTTGGTTTGTTTTGTATTTGTAGCACGTCATTGGTTTTCCTAAGCTTAAAAATTTCTTTGGTAGTATGTGCAGAATTACAAAAAGATTAAAAACAAACTAACCCTCATTTTCATTAAAAAGTTGGGTCTTCAGAGCACACAGGAACAGATGACGGGGGAGGAGGAGAGACTGGAGCACATCCTGACCCAC